TTCAAGAAGCACAAATTCTGTTCAAGATGAAAATCATGAAGCACATTTCTCTGAGGTGTATGGAACAAGCCCAGTTTGTTCTTTAACAGTACTGATTGACTATACCCCTCACAGCTTGTCTCACTTCTCTGTTCTTCCAACGATAAAGGAATAGGTTGAGAAAAGAATTGAGATACACAAGAGACACCGTATATCTTCTAGCCAAACGCTATTGCTAATTAACTATTTCTAATCACATAATTCCTACCACTCGATTCTAATTTGTAGTTGTGATTTGTAATTTTGTTTGTTTTTGTTTTGTTTTGTTTGTTTGTTTGTTTTTTGTTTTTTGATTGTGAAGGATTCTCGTTAGCGGAAAGTTATCTCTGTGAGATCTCTCTTGCCAAATTGTTTTGGCGAAGCTTATAAATAGATAAATAAATAAATAAATAAAGACTAAAAGTTGCCTTATTTATAGCAAAATCAGACGATAGAGGTCTTGATAAGGCTTCCGGAAGATAACAAGCGACCAATGTTATTTGGACCCACAGGGCTTTAAACAGAGTCTTTCGGTATCTTGCCATGTCCCGTGGAACTCGTCCTCTGTTCCGTTGCTCTTGGCGAGGTCATCTTGCTTCGACAGTTGAAAATGGCGAAGGCGGAGGAATATCCTCGTGCAACAATACACTGAGGTCATTAAACAAAATAAGATTATTGCAGCTATCACTTTTGAAAAGATGTCGAGGCTCACAAAGCTATCCAGTGGAGCACCAGGTATACACAGCAGCCAGAAACAGCTTACACTATTGCCCCACTGAGTTTGCCTTCGTGTAACAATCTGTTTGTATCGCAGGCCTTAGGTGAGAGCGAGGAGTCTGTCCACACGTATGGCAGTGACTGTCATCAGCGATACTCCACTAAAAACGATATCTATGATGTGTCCTCCAAATCTAAAATAATTGCACAGTTGTCGCAATTTGTATATTTCGAAAATCAACTCGGCGGCAAACATTGGCTCGATAGTTAGACCAACTCCGAGATCAATGATTGCGAGAAAACAAAACATGACCTTTGATGGCGCATGAAGGGAAGACACCCTGTGAAGGGCGACCAGGATCCGAGGACATTTCCCACAGTTGCAGCGAAGGACAAAAAAATATGAATTGCAGCAAGAAAGATATAATGAAGCAGTCCAAATTGACTTGAACAGAAGAGGGCTTCTTTTGCTTGGTAGTGTACATGTTCTGTCGAGTTCGCCATTTGGTTACTAAGAAGAAAACTACTTGAAATTGTTAAAAGATTGTCGGCGTAATCTTTTTAAGCAATTAGCTATAGCCACTGTTGAAAATGATGGAAGCCGGATTTTTAGCGTAATCTGCATTATAAGCAGAACGGACTGAAAAATTTTCCGTGATTCCCCTCTTCTATCTTTTAACTTTCAGTTTTAAACTTAGAACGTTGAGGCGCTTTTTTTTAGAATGAACTATGATCAGAGCGGTAAGAAAAAAATCCTATAAGCATTTCAAGTCTTTACCAGAACATCCTATGTTTTAAAAGCATGTCATTTTCTTTTCTTTTAATATGACACCGATCTTCGATTTCAAATGGTATAAAACAAAGTACAATTGACCATTTTCAGGATTTTCAAGCATTTCTGGATGAATTCATGATAGAGGAGGGCACTGGAATATTCGGTTTGGCGATTTTGGTGCCAAAAAAACCTCCGTTTTTTCGGTTTTGGAGTTCATTATGTTTTGCGAGTTTTCCTTTTATTAGCATGATTTGGTTTTTGGTTTTCGTCAAAAATGCTAACGGGTTTTGGATTTGGTATCCGATGTAATTTCAGTTATTCCTATTTGGGATCCGGTGGCTCTTCGATCTGAGCGGCAATTATGCGCCTCCACTCAGATGAGGGCCTCAGCCAAGTCCATGGTATTCGCAAAGAGAAAGAAAAAGAAAAAGAGGACTTTCGTTTTTCATTTATTTCAGTATATTTATTCATTTATTTATTTATTTTATTATTTTTCTTAAAAATTTATTTCCAACTTTCACTCAAATACAGTACAATCTTGTTCGACTATTCCAGAGTAGGCTGATTAATTCGGGAAGTACAAAGAGTTCTGTCTACTCTCAGATGTAAATATTGTAGTTTACTTTGTATGCTCTGCTTGTCACCATTCATTGTAGCGGATCGATTGGGGGTTTGATAACTGGGAAGTGAAAATGTATCTGTTTTTGATAGATTTGCAAGCGGTTTTCGGTTTTGATCAGATTTTTGGCGGTTCTGCGGTTTTTTAATGATTTTTTTCTACAGTTTTGCGTTTTTTAACAGACCCTAATGCTCCCCTCTTGATAATTTTGTTGCTTCACTCATCAATGTCAGTGCATTTTCTCGCTCGCATGAAACTGCTTTAGCGGTTTCGTCTTTCCGGCGAATAGCCAATGATTTCTTAATTAGAATTATCTTCTTCCTCTTCTGAAACACCTCTGAAACAGTCTCCGAAATAACCAACTGTTTTGGATGATTACAGCTGCACAAACGGGTAAGATATGATCATTTTCCTATGTTTATTATAGCTATAAATAAATGAATAAGAGGTAAGTACTGATACTGTCAATAGCAAACGTAGAAAAAGTTAAAAACATCAATATCTCGAGGGTTCTAAGTGTAATGGTGGGCTTGACTTTGAATATCAGGCCAAAATTTTATTTTACGCGAGAATCCAAGCGTTCCTCGACCTGGAAAAAAGCACCACTGGTTGAAATATCGATATTTAGTTATCAATTAAATCTATATTTCAATTAGGAAGGTTAAGCGGTTAAAATTTGTGTCAGGCAGATTTTCTGAGCGTATGTTCAGGAAGTACGAAAGTTAAACCTGAGAACTAAAGGTATTTTCATTTACTTTTACAACACTATTTTTATCGTCGTTTTCCTTTTTTGTATCAAGCTACATCACGTAGAGACACCATGAATTACTATCGAATGACATTTTTTCCTTTGTTCAATGGGTCTTTAAATATAACTACCACGATACAATTAACTCCATTTTTCGAGGCTTAGCCACCACGTGTTGATCTTATTAGAGCGGGAATACCATACGCCACCCCGTACAACTGAAATTTCTAGGAATGATCGTATTAGTCCACCTGTCTTCTTTCGGATAGATATCAGTGTCTGAGCAACTACACACCTACCCCTGCCCCAACCCAACATTAACCCTAACCAAGAGGTGTCAGTGTCTGAGCAACTGCACACCTACCCCTCCCCCAACCCAACATTAACCCTAAAACCAAGAGATATCAGTGTCTGAGAAACTACACACCTACCCCTCCCTCCCCCAACCCAACATTAACCCTAACCAAGAGGTGTCAGTGTCTGGGCAACTGCACACCTACCCCTCCCCCAACCCAACATTAACCCTAACCAAGAGATATCTGTGTTTGAGCAACTACACACCTACCCCTCCCCCAACCCAACATTAACTCTAACCAAGAGATATCTGTGTTTGAGCAACTGCACACCTATCCCTCCCCTAACCCAACATTAACACTAACCAAGAGGTGTCAGTGTCTGAACAACTGCACACCTACCCCTCCCCCAACCTTACATTAACCCTAACCAAGATAATCTCTTGCCCGAGCTTGTTATCAGTTGTTGGGTTAGGGGAGGGGTAGGTGTGCAGTTGCTCAGATACTGACATCAGTCCCTTTTTTCAATCAAGATCATAGCGCCCATATACTGAGCGATTCAGACCCAAAACATGAAATATTAGGAACGTATAGCTTAGTCTCTGCTTAGACCGCTGAGATGAGTGAGGGTATTAACATTCCTTATGCTCTCATTGAAAACCATCAGAAAGTAAAGTACCAATACCTCATCTTGACAAATGGTGGATTCTTTTCATGGTGGCTATATTTGTTCTTTTTGTATGACGTTCAGAAAAGTCCTCTCTTAAATATATCAAGGGGGTGTTCAATATCCACCTTCTTCGTACTTTGTGCCAGTTTCTTATCAATATAATTTCTTGCTGAGGTTGCCATTCTGAGCAAAATTCACCCCAATAAGACAAACTTATGAGGTCATCAACTTGGGTTCTTGGTTGATTTCCTAACAGGAAATACTGCTTGAAAACAACTGGCATTACAAGCATTTTTTTGGTCCCCTCTATAGAAAGAAAACAATAGAAATTCCAGTTGTAAGTGTTTATTTTTTAATTGCTATTGCCAAGAGAAAATAATGGGACTCCTATTGTTATCTGTAGTGGCCCGAATTGATTTTATTAAATAACTGTTACGTCATAGTATGGTAGTCAAAGTGCGCAGAGCTGACATCATTCCAAAAGAGCTTCAAAGTCTCGTCCATGATTTATAGTTATTTTCATATTTTCTGTTTTCTTTTTCTTTTCATCTCGATCGTGCGATTAGCGAGTGAACGATCTAAGGCCGGAAATTTATGAAACTGAGAATCAAGAAAAATATTAAGTTCAAAGAATGTGTAAACGTTACAAGTCGATATTTCCTCTCAACCATATCGACTTTGAAACTTCGGTGCCACAAGTCCATTGTTTCAAAGCTTTGTTTTCAGGCTATTTAAAAGAAGAATTTAATGCAATACTGGACAATTATACCCCCAATCGATTCGATTTACATCCAATCTTAAATTTATGAAAGCATAAACAATACCGTGACAGAAAATCACGCCAATGAGTTCATGTGTTTACGCTGGACGCGGTAAGAGAAAAATTCGTGTTTATGACTTCATGAGAAAAACATCAACTGCGTATCCGCCATTATATGTAATCGAGAAAAAGCGCCGCTTTTGTGGCTAGCCATGTGGCTTTTTGAGTAACGATCAGTCTGGAAGATTGCGCTGATATTTCTTTTGGAACATATTGCGGAAAAGTTTCCCAACATGCTCGAGTGGTAGTGCTAAGTCACGCTTCAGCTGACACATCAAGGCTGACATTACATTTTGATAATTTGAATTTTTAGCGCGATCGACCTAACCATGTGCAAAGTTTGTCATTTCGCTTTCCGGAAGCGACCGGGTTGCTTTCAGTTTCATTTGTAAGTTATGGCTTTACTGGAATAATCATGGAGCCAACTGGTAGAATTTTGGCACTATTTGTGGTGTTCCAAGTGTACACTTTGACAAGTTGTCGAGCGTGCGATTTCTCTATCGATGGTTTTGCGTCAGAATTTGTGCGAAAACGCTGTGCTTTTTCTTTCCACGACAAATCCGAAACTAAATACATCGGATTTGAATTCCGACTTAAGGACAATGAGGGGACAAAACAAGCTTTGGAAACGGTGAAAGTGAATTTTCGCGAGTTCTTGTACAGTCCTTTGACGCGTTGGAACGATAGCTGCGATTGTAATGAAGTGCCATGTTTGAATGAGGAACAATCGAACTATTTGTTTATTTTAAGCGTCGAACAAGCGTTTGAAGAAGCGAAATGGAGAATTCCATTTATACCTGGGTTATGCTGTTCTGTTCAACGAGCCCTGGTGGAAATTATATATCGTTTGGATGAGAAACAATTGACTAGTTTGAAGAAATGTACTTTGAATGAAATTAACACACGTAAATGTACAGCATATTTAACTAATGAACTTCGCCAGACGGAATGGTGTCATAGTTTTAAAGCAAAATGTGAAAATGTCATCGGTCAAATTTTTAAAGGATGTGAGGTGAAAGCGAGGAGGAAAAGACATATTGGTGTCAAAAATACTCCAGTGTGTGGTCCATCTGCTTGCTATGAAGGTAAAAGCATTTTTATATCGCTATTAATTTCAATCAATTTTGCATAAAAGCTTTGTTTACAACAGGTAGCGTTCTTCGTAAACAAATTAAACTCGTTTCCGACTGTGCGACCTTTGCAATTTTTTGGTTTGCATGGAATGTGCGGTTGTTATTTTTGTAAATCGTCAAGCTGACTCTCAATATTCCAAAAAAAGACGTGAAATATCATATCTTTGGTGTATCAGTATCCAGTTCGAACGATAGCCTTCATTTATTACATGTCCGATTACTCGACACGTGCGAAAAGCCCTGTGTAAATCTTTTTATTCCTTGCCTTTGAAACGTTTTCATCTTTATTCCGAGAAGATGAAAAAGTTTTGCTAGGGGTTATAAAGGGATATTTTAAAATACTATTTGAAGATATTTGCCTCTTACGAAACGGAAAAACTTGTGTTTTGAATAATCGAAATAGGTACAGTATGTTCGTAAGAGGTACTCCGAATTCGCGCAGTTAAAATGTTGGTGAAAAGTTTTTTTAATTATGCCGCTAAACTATAGTGCCTGAGGTTTCACTTGTCAGAAAACTCATTTGCCACACGACTTATAAAAACTGAAGACAAAAGCCTAATTAAAAACGAATTAATTATATAAAGTTTTGCTAGATTGCCATTATGATATTCGCCAGCATCAAAGGACAGCTTCAGAGCCCCAAAGGATACCTTAGGCGGGTAATGATTAAAACGAAATATGATTTTTTTTGGCGGAAGCAAGTGTGTTTAAGAAGGCCGTCTGCCTTCTTTTGACTCTTAACTGCACATTTTCATTTTCATTTGTTTTGGTCGAGTTATGTGGAACGAGAAGAGATTTACATCAATCACTTCATAATTGCACAGAAGTACTCTTTTGACCTTGAGGATAGCTCTTAACATTAAACAAAGTTAGTATTAGTGCTCATTTCCCAGAATTGCTCGTTTTTTAGATCTTGGCACGACAACTGATACTTAGGCCATTGTAACTATATGGGTCGCAGCATTATTAAAGTTACGTCGTAAAATATTGCATTTTTTTTTGCAGGTAGAGCATCACTTTTGTCGACACCCCTACTGAGAATCCAGGCTACTTCTTTTCTTGGATTTCACGATTTCGTGAGTACACCGTCGCGAAGCTCACTTAGTTTGAAGCTGGAGCCGTTTGCATCTGAGGCCAGTCTTAAGTCAGTGGTAGCGATCAATTCAAGTTCTTCAGATATCTCCCGAAGTGCGAAAGTTCACGAGCTCACCTCGAGAGTTTCAAATGAGACCGTATTACAGACTTTTCCCGTCCCCTCTCCTAGTGGTTCATGGATATCACCCGCTAAGGTTGGCTCTGGCGCGCAGTCCTCGTCACCTTTCACACCTTCCAACATAACATCTTTAGTCACAACCAATGAGGTAGTATCGAAAGAGAAGGCAATGTTTACCAGAGCACATAAAACCGCTGTCCGATTTTCCACAAGAAATGCTAGCCAAAATTCTCAAAGCCCAACGACAGCGTTTTTTCGGAGTGGCACACCGGCGAGAAAGTCGCACCTAGTGCCACTTTCGCCAACGCGCACAACAAGGGAAGAAACTGAGCGCATATCTGAGAAATCGAGCCCCGCATCGTCAGCGTTCCAAAGCACTAACTCTGGGGAAATGCGTCTCGTTGGATCCACTGATTTGACTTTCCACGTAGTTTCTGTCAGCTCTGTGCAGAATGACACTTTTAAGAAGTCAGTCAGCTCTTCTAGTAAACTGCAAAGTTCTTTTCTGCATTCTTCATCGCTGCCTGCTCCAGTGCTGCCACCATTGCCTTCAATTTCATCATCATCCTCATCAATTCTGCATTTAACACCCTTGTTGTTACGGTCTTCAGCGTCATCTGCGTTATTGCCAATTTTGGAAACGCATCTGTCGTCATTTTCGCATTTGCCGTTAAATTCACCGTCTCTGTCACATTTGAGAATGACCTCAATTTCATTGACACCGTTATCGCATTCGATGGGGTCTTTATCAACATCTTCATGCTGCTCTCCCTCCTCTTCTTCTGCCTCCCTCTTCTCTCCCTCTACTCCTCTCTTTTCCCCCTCCCCCTCCTCGTCGTCTTCTGCCTCCCTCTTCTCTCCTTCTTTCCCTCTCTTTTCCCCCTCCCCCTTCTCGTCGTCCTCTGCCTCCCTCTTCTCTCCCTCTACCCCTCTCTTTTCCCCCTCCCCCTCCTCGTCGTCCTCTACCTCCCTCTTCTCTCCTTCTAGCCCTCTCTTTTCCCCCTCCCCCCTCTCGTCGTCCTCTACCTCGCTATTCTCTCCCTCTACCCCTCTCTTTTCCCCCTCCTCGTCGTCCTCTGCCTCCCTCTTCTCTCCTTCTACCCCTCTCTTTTCCCCCTCCCCCTTCTCGTGGTTCTCTGCCTCCCTCTTCTCTCGCTCAACCCCTCTGTTTTCCCCCTCCCCTTCCTCGTCGTGCTCTGCCTCCCTCTTCTACCCTTTCATTTCTCTCTCTTTCACTTCCTCCTCCTCGTCCTTTGCCTCTTTCGTCTCCCCTTTCACCTCTGTCCCTTCTCCTTCCTCCTTTTCGCCGTCCTTTACGTCCAGCTTTTCCCCTTCCGCCTCTCTTTCTTCCTCCTCCTCCTTTTCGTCGTCTTCTGTCTCTTTCTTCTCCCCTTTTTCCTCTTTGTCTCTCTTGTTCCCCATTTCGCCATCTGCGTTTTTCTTCTCTTCCACCTACTCCTTGCCCTTCACCTCTTACTCCTTTTCTTCGCCCTCATCTGTATCATCAATTTCTCCGTCATCATTTCCATTTTTATCGTCATCATCTTCGTTGTTGTCGTCGTCTCTTTCATCGTCATCATCAGCCACAACAAAAACAACTACTCCGATGAAGTCATCAGTAATCCACTCAGTAACAGCACCAACTTCATCACCAGTGTTATCATCGTCACCCTTATCATTACAGTCCCAAAGAACAGAACTATTACCGTCGCCTGCACAATCGACAGCATTATCAACGATGACATCAAAAATAACTTTATCGCCGCCATCGACAAATTTCGTGGCACATTGGCCATCGATATCCTCACCGTTATTATATCTTCCATCGACATCATCATCAGTTTTAACCTTGTCAGATGTGAAACGTTCTTTAGGTGTGACTTCACCCTTATCTTCATATTCTAAACATACTTTTGCAAAGAAAACCTTTATTAGTGCTGAAACCTCAAAAAGTGATTCTTCGCCCTCGAGCATCCCTCAATCGTTAATTGCGACACCTTCAAAACCAAGCACAACTGTACCTACCGTCACTGACACATTTCTGATGAAATTTCAGGGACACTGTAGTTTCATTTTCAACAAGGAAGACTTCAAGTTTGCCTTTGTAACTGCTTTGACCAAACTCTTGCCGGTTTCAAGATCTGATGTCATAGTCTATGGCGTCAAGTGCGGTTCGGTGGATGTTACCTTTGGATTGCAAGGTCGCAACAGTAACTTAACAGAAAAACTGTGGGCGATGATAGCGAACGAATCATTTGTGTTAACCTACAATGGGACGCAGTTTGTTGCGTTTGAATTGAGACAAATCATAACACCATCGTCCATAACTTTCACAGACTCCACCACGTCCTCTTCAATTCCAACCGTAACTTCCACCAAACACGGAAGAAAAAGGATCGTGTTTATAATATTCGTGTTGATTGGTTCAGTATTTGGAGCATTATTTATTTTCTGCCTGGTTTTATTCATAGCCAGGTTCTGTACCTGCTGTCAGAAAACTAAGGGAAAATTTCGCGTGCATCGAAACGTTCGCTTGCAAGCACCTTTTGAAACTGAGTTGAAACGTTTTACGGCGCACAAAAATATCTTCCAAGGTCTTAACTATTATGGAGAAACAACTCAACTGGAGGAAACCAGAAAAGACGTAGAGCTTGAAATTGTCGATGACATCGACGAGGAGCTCTCTGAACTTAGTCCCCTTTCGGACACAGATATTTACTTGTTAAATGGTTATGATCATGCGAATTCTTACCAACCACAAGAGCACAAATTTGTCTTTGATGACGATGGCTCTTGTTCCAGTGTGGTCTATTACTAAAGCACTTCCATGTGGATGCTATTTTGTACGATTTAGAAATATTAGATTGGGTGTTTCCAAACTGCAGGCTCAGTTTACAGCCGCTCGTGTTCCGGTGCGCCCACAGATCGCAGGCACATAGAACATCAACAGTTAGATACTGAGTTTATTTTCAAACATGACTACAAAACTGTGCTGCGAGGCTTTGATTGCTAAAAAATAAAAAACCTCTCATAAAATAAAGTCTTCCCCTAAGATTATTTAACTTTTCTTAACCGCAGATGATTTTGTGTAAGATTTTAGAAACAATTTCAAAATAAACTCATGTTTTACTGCAAGATGATAACTGAATTGGGTCATTTGATTTTAATTTTTTTTTTCACTTGGTGAATAGCGCACACATATATAATATTCGGTCATTCATTTTCTTGAATGAGGAAGTCTCAAATTCGGTGGAACAGTATTCAACAAGAAAAACTGAATCAAAACGGATGTTGGTTTGGATACCTCTAAGCTCTCCCAAATGAAAAATGTGAAGGGACTGGGTAAGACTTTTAGTTGAGCGGGAGACTCAGGAAGACAGAATTGTTGTCTTATATGACCAATGATGCGGTAATAGAAAACATGGCGACCAGATTTCATGGCGAACAAAGAACTTGACACTAACTTTTACATCTTCCTGCCCAAAGTTTTGACCACTGACCCTGTAGCAGATGTAGAACACGGCTCGAGGAATTCATGCTACGTGGGAGAGCGTTTATGCTTTTTTCTTATCGCCCAATTCCGAGGGAAAAATCGAGAAGATGCAACGTTTGAAGCGTGGCAGAAACGCCTGTTACGTTTGTGTACATCTGTTAGTGTAAGCAGCATTGATGTGTTGACCAGAAAAGATGATGCACATGCAGGCGGATTTATTACCTGTTGGCCCGTTAATTCGTCAAAAGTGGAAGGAAAAGACGCCGATTATAGGAAGAAGGTTTATTATTTAGAATTATAATTCCAGAACCATCTTCCGGAATCGAATGCAAATTGATTGGGTTAATTATGTAACCCATGCCAGCGGGAGCGCAAATTTCTGTAAAATTGAAATCCTTAATTAACATTATCTTTCCAATTAAGTCCAATAGTTAACCGGTATTTTTATATCTACGTGAGAACTGGGATATATAAGCAACGCACTCTCTATATACTATACCGTTCATTCATTCTTCTGGGTTTGGCGAGTGAGTCCACGTGCTAAGGGCTCAAACAGCCCTGCACGGCGAGCAGAATCTCCTATCATTCTAATTCTCTCAGCAGACAAACTGACTTTAATGACCGATATTATGGCTCTTTTATATTCAAACTGAAATGCACGTTTTCAAATGTTGAAGAATGAAGCAGTATTTAGAAATTATTTTTTAACTAGTGTTTTAAATAAAGTATTCCTGTTAATTTCTGCCAACTTCATTTGTTCTTTCAAGGAACGCAAGGGCTTTGGTCAAGTTTATTTGGTGATAACACCATATCAAAAGCTCTTCCAACAGTTAGCAGGTGCTTGTATGTGTGCACATCCACTGTGAGAGCAAGTTGCATGCACAAGAATTAATGAATTGGCCAAAATTTAACCTTTTACACCCTAACATTGTCAGTCGTTGGATATCAGTGTCAATCGTTGGATACTTTTAAAGTTATACGAAAGACACATCTTTTTAATTTAGCTTTCTATTAGTTCTTATTAATTCATATTTTACCTTTATTGTTTTTCCGGAAAATTGTAAATTATTATTATTACTATCATTATTAGGATTAGCCTCATTGCTGTAAGATTTTTAATGTTGTAATGCGCATTCGATCATATCTTTTGTTGCATGTTAGACTGTGCAATATAAGAAATAAACATTATTAACGTTTGGATAATTTTTTTTTTTTTTGTTTTCAATACAAATCTCCATATATTTCCTTTGGTTCTGTCAAGGAGAATTCGTTTCACAGTCAAGAGCTTCTGTAATTGCTAGTAATTTTTTGTATTCCCATTACCTTATTGTCTGATCCAATAGTGATACTTTAAAGAGAAAATAGTTGCTTGTCACCTAAGAGTTTAAAGTATGTTCCTTCATTCTCTTACCAACAGATAGAACCAAAAATCACACATCGTGGTGACATCATTTATCCCTTGGATGTTACACTGGACTCGTTAGCAGCTTTGACAAGAAGAATGCGTCTGTCAGTCAATGTCTGGACACCAGAATTAAATGTCTTTCATGAGACAGAAAAGAGTACCAACATTGATTTTAGGCAATACTTGGTGGATCATGATCCTGATGACTTAATAGAAGAATCAAAGAATGCATGGCGATGTATAGGTAAAATGTGAATACATGGCTTAAATACACCGAATTGAAATATGGCGTCCAATTTGAATTACCATTGTTCTGGACTTACTAGCCTTGTCTTCATGTGGAAAACACAAAAGGATTATCACATGGGTGAGAGGCTAGTAAGTCCAGAACAATGGCAGTTAAAATTGGATGCCATATTTCGATTCGGTGTATTCTGAAATTCTTAGGTACTTGTAAAAAAATTCACAAGCTCAACGAGAGTGAGCATTGAGTGGGTATTGATCCCATAACCCTTTCACTCCCATGATCTCAATAGTAATTCTCCTTACTGTCTGTCATTCAATTCTTGTGATGTTAGTTTGGAGAATTTGTTACTGGATCACTTAGTTATCCCTTAAGTTTTCTTTATTCTCACAACTTGTGTGCTTGATATTGTTTTGATATTGTAAGGAGAAATTATGTCTTGGTCAGTGATGATGGAAACACTTCCTCTTGTCACTGGTGTATAAATTTAACATTTAAGTCAATCTGATTTGTAAAATTGTGCTCTCATTTGCAGTTAATGCTACCCTTCCTGTCAATACACCTCCAAATCTTCGCTGCAAACATTTTCAAGTGGCAGGAAAGCATTTCCTTTGCATTGAAGGTAACAAGTACCCATCTTGCCTTAATCAAAATGAAACTGGAATAAACTCTTTGGCATGAGCCTGAATAGGAGGGAGGTTTATAATGGAAAGAATATTGAAATTATTTAATGATGATAATGCTAAGATTGCATGTAACAGTGAATGGTGTACATAGCTGCCAAAGCTAATATCCAGTAGCATGACATGATAGTTAACTACTGTTAGTAATTCTGTCATGCAGATAACTCACTTTATTATGCAACTACACTTTGTAGAGTACAAATAATGCCATAGAAGAGTACAAATATCATGTGATATTTACAAATACCATGCGATATTTGTACTCTAGAGTACCGGTTAAACAGGTTTTCTCGCATCGCGCAAGCGAATTGAATTATAGTTACGAAAAAAGAAATGGCGGACAATTTGAATCATATTTCCAACGACAAAGAGTCAGAATGACTGGCAAATATACATCCAAGTTTATTAGATGAATAGAATGAAGAAAGACAGCTAGACGACCTGGAAATGTCTTCATTTATTGAAGAAAATAGAAACAGCAAGAATACAATGCACCAATTCCGTTCCGCTTCACATACTTCTGTCATGCACTCCCTGTAAATAAATATCCCCGAAATTCGCGGATATTTCAGTTTGGCGTGTTGGATAATAAATAACTTATCAGATGTTTTCGTTATTTGTATTTTGACTTGCCCTTTGGGCTCATCAAAATACAGCACAACTCGTAAAAATACTCAGCGATACTACACAATAAAACGTCTAATAAGATATATATCCAGTGGTTAGAGTAGTTTGTTGTTTTACAAATACTTTTGTGGCCCTAGTTTTTTGAAGAGTTGATAACACTATCTACCAGATAAATGTCTATCCAGTGGTGTTGTAGTGGGTTTTGTTAACACATACTAGATAACCATTTATTCTTTGGAGAACATTATCCATCCTTTGAACAACCAGGCCTTGTCAGATAGCAGATGAACCCCACTCTGTTAATTCACCTTTTTGAGCAACTGGATGTAGAGTTTTGGTATGGTCCCTTTGAACAGATTGCTAGCCCTTTGTAAATCACCCTTCCCTCTTGCCAGCATTTCTTAAGGTTTCTCCAGCAATATAATTATTTGAACTTTTGGATAAAGAGAAGGGAATTGTTTTGCAACGAGAGGCCTCCACAGATGGTGTGAACTCATGATACAAGCCATTGTAGCTATTAGGTCACCATTTGTCCCCTTATATATATAGATAATTATAACTGTAGAGAGCTTGATAAATGGAAACTTTCCCTCTGGATGGATGGATGGATGGATGACCTTTATTTAAACACGATAAAAATTTAAAGCTACAAGCTTGTAAGGTCATGTATTTATAATTAAAAACATAAATCCTAATGTAAATAAACTGTCAAAATATTGACAAGATTAGTAACTAGTGCATTACGAATTATACATTAAATTTATTTTTTACGAGATAAAATCATTACTGAATGGGTAAAATATCACCAAAATGTTCATAAATAATCTTCAATTATATACAAAATCTGCATTTCTATGCTGCGTTGTTGAGGCGGAGGTAGTCTCGAATTTAAAATGCTTGAAGTAATCTTTTGTTCTTATCAGATATTGATCTTTGTTGCTCATGGCTGGGTTGTTCAAAGCTGGGTTAAGATAACCCAGGGTTAGTGTGAAATTTAATTTCAGATCTGAAAGCTGTAAAAGAAAGTTCAGTTTAACTATTTTCGTCTACAATTTAATGATCGGATGCTCTCAAAAGAATAGGGAAAATTATCCCAAAAAGGTTCTTGAATAGAGAAATAAGGAAACCTGGATTAAAATTTAACTTTGGGTTAGTGCTAATCGTCCTTTGAACAACTGGACCCAGATGCCTCTGAGCTCTGCTCTCTTACAAGCTCTTGTTCTTTGGTTTATTTCCTTCAGTTATTAATATTTTGGGCAAAACAGTCACCCTTAATCACGTTGGTGTGAGGACTAGTTATGATGTGGGTCTAGAAAATGGGAAGAAAATAATCCATCATTGCAATGGTTCAAAACAGGATTTCAAGCCAAGGTATGATCCTTTTTGGACAATGATGTACATACATACATACATACATAGGTTAATTGACCACTCCCCATAGGGGCTTTTCAGGGCTAATTCCCGCCCATCTCACCGAGGGGAGGACATCCACCACACAGTAATCTCGTGCGTGGGAAATTAATGTCTCCTACCCCTAACCCTGCAGGAGACGGGGCCTATGGTTTATTTGTCCTTATCCGAGAATACTAGAATATCTATCCATTTCTTGATTATAGAAAGGTAGCAATATGAGAGACCTGTCATTTGCAGGTTAGTTGCAATTCTTGGAATTGCAGT